GATCGCCGACATACCCCGGGAACCCGTTTCCGAGGACAAGGTTTGCCGCCAAGAGTTCGCGCTGCATTGTTGTATCATAGATAAGCTATTGTTAGTAAGAGAGGTCTGGCAAGGGTCTTGGAGCGAAAAGAACTTATTATATGTAGACTTGAGTGGAGTAATGATGTTGAAGATGTATATGTGGACTTTGTATGGAGTGTACTACGGTGAAGATAATCTTTTTTGAGATTTTGAGCTGGATGCTTTGGAAAATGGGTATTTTTGGATGAATTGGTCCCTGTTTAATTTTACAGGGTTATGTAGTAATCCATTGGAGGTTCGTAAATCATCGCTTTAAAAAAAAAAAAAAAATGCAAGAACAAAAATGATATATCCGAAACAAAAGAAACAAGGGGATCTAATATCAAGACATTCTGAGCGCTAAAACATCTACCACTTGATGACCTTCTTGGGGAAGAACTCGTCGATGAGTTCGAGGTAGTATGGCTGCGATAGGGGTTAACTAAAACACATTTGATTTTAAAAGGGTAGGGAGAGAGGACGTACCTTGAGCTCGTCGACGGTGGGAACGTCGTCGCTCTTGCTGTACAGGTCGTAGGGGTTGAAGGCCTTGACGGCCTTGAGCATCTCCTTGTCGTGGTCGTTCATCAACTCTTGGTATGCGCCGGCGTTGTGCCAGGGGTAGAAGGAGTGGTAACGGATGATAGCCAGGGCCTCGTCGGGGAGAGTGGACTGTTCCTTCACGACATGGTAGAGGTACTCGTCGTGACCCCAGGAGAGCATGACTTTGTCCAGGCCACAGCCGGGGCTGTAGATACCGTACTTGGTGCCGTAGACTTCGTGACCGTAGTCGGGGTTCTCCTTGAAGGACTCGGTGCCGTAGATGATGCGGTCATCGAAAGCAAGGCCAACGGGGAAGGTGTCACCGACGACGTCCCACTGGCCTTGAGCGTCGAAGAAGTAGAGCAGCTTGCCCAGGTCGTGGATGAGACCGGTGAGCTGCATCCAGCGGGGCTTGCCATCGCGGCGGATGGCCTCAGCGGACTGAAGAAGGTGCTCGATCTGAGAGAGGCTGGTGTCGGGGTCGGACTCGTCAATGAGGGTGTTGAGCTTCTCCATGGCCTCCCAGATGGTCATCTCGGCGCGGGTCTTGGAGTGGAAGGCATGGCGGGCCTTCAAGTTGTAAGCGACAGTCTGCTTGGTGTGCTGCTCCTTGTAGAAGTTCTTGACACGGTCGCAGGCGTCCTCGTATTGACGGAACTTGGTCTTGTCCTTGTTCTTGTCGAATTCAGACTCGGCATAGATGTCCTTGTCGTCTTGCTTGATATTCTGCTTGAGGACGTTGACGGTGTCGATGGCATCAGAGGTCTCCTCGAGGGCCTGTCCATCACGCTTGGTGTTGAACACCGGGGTCTCTGGGGCGACAGCAACTGGGGCCATTATGAATGAAAGATATGTGTCTGATTTTTTGATGTTCCTTTTTGATTCTCTCGAATATATTGGATCAAGACTGATCTGGGTATCAAAGGATGCTGCTGGAGAGAAAGAAAAATTCCAGGAAGACGCAGACGTATATATAAAGGGAAGGGCACTATAAGGGAGATCCTCGTGATCTACGAGAAATTCAGTATCCGACTAAACCCCCAGTCGAACAAGCCCTAACACCCTACGCCCCAGAATCCGACAGTGTGGTGGCGCCATTGTGATGTCCTCGTTGTGTGAAGATCGGATTCTGGCTTCCGCACTATCAAAATAGATTCTGGAAATCTTCTCCACAACTGCATGACGCGGGGGGGAAATCTGAGGTACGGATCTGCAGCCAACCAGAGACAAGTTGTTACTAGCGGAGAGCTGCCGTCTTGTCTGTGGGGAGGATTGAGGCACCTCAAGGATTCTGGTTTCCGAAGGCCGAGAACATTGGCCGCCGGGGCAGATTTCTCTTCTGGTATGCCACATTTCCCCTCGACTGCCCTTTTGGTGGCGCCTGATGTCACTGTATTTCTCCTTGAAGCAATAAATGACAATCAACATCATGCTCAATGGCCAGTGCCCGCTGACCCCCAAACGTTGATCTGCCGGTTGAAACAACTAAGTTTCACCACATGGGAAAAAACCATCGGATTTCTAGTACAGAACTGCCATCTTCGCATTCTGTTCACTGGGCAGTTCTAAATGTGGAGCCCTATGAATTGACCAAATCGGGTATAGGATATTGGTTTCGTCTGGAAAGAGAAATGGTTTCCGATGGTTGCATATGCACGGTCATCCTGGCTCCCTATGACGCTTTCCGATCGGATTTAATCTGTTCGAGTAGTGAGTAGATGAGATAGACAATCACAATACATTTTTTCTGGAGAAAATGAAGACATTGATACTTTTTAGAATGAGTGACACTCACCAGTATGGAGAGAAGAAAACGTATGGAATTGAACTGCTCGCGTGAAGATGACCCGAGGGAGCGATGTGATTGATGGAACTTCGGGGCAAATTCCACTGGACGGGACAATTGACGGCGCGATCCCCGAGATGTGTTGATAATTAAATCTCTCTTTTACCCCTCTACCCCTCACCCTTTTCTTCTTCTTAGTATTTGTTTCTCCCTTTTTCCTCAAGTCAATTCGCAATTTTACTCATTCCTCTGGTTTCCTACAATCTCTAAAACGAATCTATCTCCAATTACACACATACTACTACACCATGGCCGTTGCCGACACTCGATTCAAGCTCAACACTGGAGCTGAGATCCCTGCATTGGGTCTCGGTATGTGAAATTCATTTCGACACAATTGCAGCAATGGCCGTGCTAATTGAACAGGTACCTGGCAATCTGCCCCCGGTGAGGTTGAGAAGGCTGTCAGCCACGCCATCTCAGTGGGATACAGACACATCGATGGCGCTTTCTGCTACCAGAACGAAGAGGAAGTCGGAAAGGGAATTAAGGAAGCCCTGACCTCTGGAAAGGTGAAGCGGGAGGACCTTTTCGTTACCACCAAGCTGTGGTGCACTTACCACAGCCGGGTGGAAGAGGCTCTGGATCAGAGTCTGAAGAACTTGGGCTTGGACTACGTCGATCTGTATTTGATGCACTGGCCACTGGCCATGAACCCTAATGGTTAGCTCTGCCTCTTTTTCTTGCCAATCCGATGCTCTAGGTCTAACAGTTGATTAGGAAACCACCCTCTCTTCCCTAAGCATGAGGATGGCTCCCGAGACATCGTTCACTCGCACTCTCACGTCGAAACATGGAAGAACATGGAGAAGCTCCTCTCGACAAAGAAGGTCAAGGCCATCGGTGTCTCTAACTACAGCGTGCGTTATCTGGAGCAATTGCTTCCTCAGGCTACCGTGGTCCCTGCAGTCAACCAGATTGAGAACCACCCCTCTCTCCCACAGCAGGAGATCGTCGACTACTGCAAGGAGAAGGGTATCCATATCACCGCCTACAGCCCTCTGGGAAGCACTGGTAGCCCGCTATTTACAGCCGAACCTATCGTGGAGGTCGCAAAGAGCAAGAGAGTTACCCCCGCCACGGTTCTTCTCAGCTGGCACAGTATGTTATAAGCATTCCTTCCAACATTCTCATCTCTTAAACTCGATGAAATTCTCTGACCATACAATGTAGTTGCCCGTGGTTCCTCCGTTCTCGCCAAGTCTGTCACACCCTCTCGTATTGAGGCCAACCGCCAGTTGGTTCAACTCGACGAGAAGGACATGGCCACCATTGCCAAATACACCGACGACCTTGCAGCCAGGAAAGCCTTCCACCGCTACGTCTATCCTCCCTTCGGTGTCGACTTCGGATTCCCCGACAAGTCATAAACTGTCCGGAGTCTACCTACCAAGCATCTCCTAGCACATATGACCACCGGGTGCGGAAAGCAGGGCTTTCCGTCCGCCCTGCCATACCTCCACTATCATGGATGGACAGGGCAAAAATCTCAGTGAACCATTAGGCTCATGATTACCTTATAAAAAGGTGTTATGTACCCTTTGGGGTGAGTGTAGATGGTTTGAGTGAGTCTTGTACAACAGCCTGGGGAGCCTGGAAAAATAGTTTTGATTCTTTAAATTTGTTTATAGATAGACGACATATATCCCTCATGAATGATGTTACAGGAAGCTTCTCTTGCTTGAGTCGATTGCTTATGCTTACAACTATCTGTAGCGCATAGGTTATGATTAGTTCCAATATGGTAAGTGACCGAAGTGGCTTGATTGCCTTGCCCCTGTGGTATATTCCGGTTTGTATTAGATACTTTCTCTGAATGGTGATAATATCAATTTCATGGTGTTAACCCAGATTATACATTTCCTTATTCTTGAAGTAGTGGGGTAAAGGAGAAAAGCATTTCGTAATTATCACTTTTACCACAGTGTCAATGTTAGTATTCTAGCCGTATTAGAAATTTAGAGCATATCTTAAGCTTATACTTTCTGTTTGATGCTATTTCTGTAAATAACTAGTATCTTATGCTGTATCACTTTCATGTTATTAGCATATGAAGAATAATAGCTCTGGTATCAACTTCACGTTAACTGACTATTGCTAGTGACATTTTCCAACGTCGGTGTCACCTTTCTCATTGATCCATGCATGGATACATTAATAATTAAACACAACAGACAGTCAGGCGACCCTGCAGTCGTTGTTGTGGTATTTTTAGAAGTAACGGAAAGCTGGTGGCTCTGCTACTATACTTGGTGCATAAAACAAAGGAAGCTTTCAGGTGATCTAAAAACTTCAATATGTTTGTAAAATCACAAGGCATAGATATGTTAGTTTACCGCCTCTGGGGGCCACGTGAGTATTTTGCCCATATCCTCCTTTAAATTGTGTTTCTCTATTCATGACTGTCATCCTGTCAACTACCCAACCGCCACCTTGATCATCATCCTGTGCATCAGAGTGCACACGTCTCTTGACTGAGTTCATCTAAACACGGTTAGCTTGGGTGGGTGGGTGGGTGGGAGGGTCTTATGTAGGAGAATATAGCGTTCTCTTACCTCTTACGCTTGTGCTTCTTGTGCTTCTTGACCACACGTTTGACTCTGGGTGTCGCGACCGTCTCCTCCACAACAGCCAGACCAATCCACTCCCTGTTGAGAGTAATAGCTGGACCCTGCGCTTCTGTAACAGTGACCGTCTCTTGATATCCCAGCTCTCGAACCCCATCGGTAGCACTTAGCTCGTCTTTGACACCCTGTTTCGCAAGGGCTCGAAGGGCTTGCAGGCGGCGTGTCTCGCGCTCTACTATTACCGCCTGGGCGAGGTCACTCGATAAGATATTCTGCGCTTCCATGACCCCGAACATCTGTTCTAGATGCTTGTACGGAAGGTAGATCAATATCGCAGAGGGCACCTCAACCTCTCGGTTCGGGGTTTCTCCCTGGCGAGACGCAAACGATCGAGGACTAGTGATCACTGGACCAAGAACACCCCGCAGGCTTTCTGGGATTCGATTCGGCAGAGTCCTACTCTGCGCCTTGGTGTACAGTGTGAAGTCCTTGCCCATGTGCCTGGTTACAAACTGCAGAGCCGAACCAACTAGCCGTGGAGCCCATCTTTGCAGCTCTTCTGCTGCGTCATAATCTCCAGTCTTGTCGATTGGAGCAGTCTGCTCGAGGGCAACAGCCGGTCTTGTCGTGCAAACTCCGAAATAGAGGATGCATTCGACTATTTCCCAGTCGATCAGCTTAATGGCTAGCCTGATACCCGTTTCAATGATTGCTTCTTGTTGAAAGAAGGCCCCCGATGCAGCATAGCACAGGGCGAAGTCTGCCATGGCCGCCGTGAGTGAGAATTGTATTTTCCCCACATTGTTCTCCGAGTATCCATAGGTGGACAGAGTCGCCAATCTGAGCTGTCCTGCTGTCAGAAGTGGCCTCCCGTACAAGTGTTGCAGCGCATATTCAAAGCCTTTGATCATACAGAAGTTCTCATTTCCAACAGCGACAATCTCATTGGTACGCTCTTTCTGAATTGTCGCCATCAAGACATCGGCCATGAAACTGCTACGGCTTATCACCACTTTATGTGCTTTGAAGACTATTGGCATGAAGATATCTTTGGAGGATCTCAATATTATCTGGAAGTCGGAAAATTCACTCGCTTCTAAGCAGTGAAGCAGGTGTTCAGAGAGTGGGCCGATTCTATTGGGAAGTATTTCGGTCGCAACGGTGTGGTGTTCGGATGAAGCTATAGGAGACGCATGATTAGTGCTAAAACGGTGGAATAATCGAATTCATGGGACAGTCTCACCTTCACTGCTGCCCACACCAACATCCACTACATTCATTTCCTTATTCTCTTGCTCTGACGTCCGTCTAAAGCCATCTGATGGCGCCTTTGAGGCATGTTCACCGAAATAAGAAGATCCAGAAGCAAAGACGCATTTGCAGCAATCTCCCGAGTGATGAGCACAGCAACAGGACCACCTGGGTGGACAGTTGCAGTCAATAGTGGGCTTATGCACGCAACAGCTGAGGTTAAATTGACACATATTTCGACCGTGCAAGTGACAAATAATAGGGCTGGTTTCATCATGAATCGAAGAAGACCCATTCTGCTCTTCATGTTCTTCCTCTTTCTGGTTTGAGAGACGAACTGTATGACTCGAGGATGTATCTATATTAGACACCTCAATATAACCACCAGCAAGGCCACTATCACTGGGTGGAGCCTTATCAACAACAGGTTGAGAGCTCATAGTCGCGTCCTTAGGGAGTGGCTGTTGCGTGTTACCGATATGGATCTCGCCGCTATCCAGAGGCAGGTCATTGGTCTTTCCCTTTTTGGCTTCCTCTTCCTTCATTTTCTTTTGTTCTTTCAACTGCTTCTTCTTCAATCTTCTCTTCTCTTTCTTTCGAGCTTGTTGAGCCTTCTGTCGCTCAGAAGAACCATCCGCTTGTGTCTTTACCGTCTTAAACGCAGGCCCCGATGATCTAGCTCTACAAAAAGACCGCACATCTTCAGAGCTAAGATCTACACGCATGATTTCAAAGACGGAATCAAAAGACATGACAGCAGATGGCAACTCGGAGGTGCAAAAGGAGCTTCTTCTCTCCGGGTCTGTCATATTCTCTCTTTGCCTTCAATATCTAATCAAAAAACTGAGAAATGCAAGGGATAGTTGAATCTTGATATCTGCTCGAGAAACTCCGATGAAAGATTGTGGAGGGGTTTAGGGTTGAGATGGTATGAATATGGATGGATCGACGTGTGGAGGGACGATAAAAAAGGAGGGGGGGCGACTTTTGTTGTTTTTAAACTGTAGTTTTCCTTTATGTGCGTTTCCTTGACAATTATGTTGATCTTCTTTCAGAAATCACAATCTCTGGTGAATTTTCTGGACAGCTCTTGTTGATTACAGTTTATTGACTACGTTTGAGATAAGCTTAAAGCTGGCATCTAAATTATCTGCAGAGTAGTAATTTTCTCAATGAACTGTATTATCTGCTCTTATAGTAGAATCAAAGCTTAGAGATTTATAGTATGTATACACAGCCATATATGCAAACATCAATACCTCTTTAGCATCACACCATATCAAAAGCAGTATAAGGGCTCCGTGCTCCACGTGAGGGGTCATGTACACGTGATACGTCTTTAACAACAGCAAAACATAAAAGACATTTAGTAAAAAGTAATATTCAGTGAATAGTAAGTAGTAAAGAGTATAATGTAAAAACATGTGCGACCCTTTCTGTCTTTGCTCAAATCAGTGAAAGTGCGCAGCATACTCTGTTTTCCTCTAGTAATATGCAAAACGCAACCAGTTCTATAAGGACAACCAAAAACCTCCCTCAGTAATTGAACTTAGAATAATAGTCTTCAAAGCTGCGCTAGTCATCACAAGTGAATGTCACACAAAAAGGGGGTAACTAAACTGGCTAGTCCTATATCTACGGGGAGAAGGTATTGTACATTTAGATCAGTTTTTATTGACCTATCTAGATATTTTGTAATAATGCATAGAAGATAAGGAAATGCTATGGTAGAAAGAAAGAATAAGGCTCAGATATCAAAGTCAAATGAAAGACAGTCCTGTCCGCTCAACATAACGCAGTTGGTATATCATCATGAGCAAAAATGGTAATCAAAAGAAGGTATCTAAAGTTGACATAAATGAAAAAGGAGAATGATCGGAAAAGTCGAGTAATCCATATAACCCAGTGGGAGAGGAAGATAACCTGAGAAAGGTAGGAAAGTAGTAAGAGAGAGAGAGAGAGAGAGAGAGAGAGAGAGAGAAATAGAGAGAGAAATAGAGAGAGATAATATAGCCGCTATGCGACTGTTGTTTAAAACATGCCTCCCTCCATGGGGGCTTGAGGTGGTGGATAAGCTGGCATAGCTGGTGGAGGGCCAGTCATAAGCTGATGTCTCGCTTTGGCGTTCAGGTCTCCGCCTTCGCTGGAAGTTTTGCGCAGCCTGCTTCGGGTCCTAGGCCGTCTTTCACCCTCGTCGGAGAATGTGCTATATTCTTCCACAACACTATTGGCTGTCGATGGGGCCGTCGATGGGGCTATCGATGGGGCGTACTGAGATGGAGCGTACTGCGATTCATACTTATCGCCTCTAATCGCACCAAGGATGGTTTGGGTGGTGGTTTGGCGGCGACGGCGTGGGTTCATAGGAGGAACTGGAGGTGTTGTCATGCCATTGGTCAAGCTCGCTCCAGGTGGGAGACCGACAGTTGGAATGTTCGAGGTGGTAGACACGAAAGTGGGCTCGGAGATCTGGTATTTATCCACGGGACGCTTCTGAAGGCCACCGTTATGCCCGGGAGCTCGCTGAGGGAGACTGGTCGTCGAAGTAGATGCCGAGCTAGAAGACGGATCAGGAGAGATGTCGTACAACGGCGGTGTAGCATTAGCAGAGTAAGGGGCAATAGGTGAAGGTCGCGGCGGGGCACCGATCATCTGTGGGTTAAGCGCAGGCGGATGGAGTGGTCGTTCAACAAAGCTTGGTGTTCCAGATCGACTGCCGCTGCGATACCTTCCAGATGCAGCAGATGAGCACCGATCGTACATAAAGGCGTCATTGACCTCCACAGATGGGCGGGCGGATGAAGCAACAGATGTCAGGCCGCGCTGATCAAAGTCAGGGAACGCGGACTGTTCATACGGATCAGACTCCTCTAAAGTTCCGAGATCATCTCTCTCCCGGCGAGTGCGACTCTTAGAGCGGCCAGAAGCGTCAGAGGTCGAGCGATCCCGCCTGGACCTAAAACTTGAATGTGGCGATGCTCCACGGCTACGGCTCGACTCGCGGGAGTCTTCTTGGCTGCTGCGGCCAAACATGCGAGACCGTATGGAACGCTCTGAGGAAACATGGGGAGAGCTTGAGTTGGAGTGTTTTCCAAAGCTGAAGGACGGCCTTTCTTCATCCTCGCGCCATTGGTCATCCGATGCCAACGTTGGAGTAGAAGCGTTACCTAGGCCGAGCATCTTCGGATTTCTTTGGTCTTGTCTACCGAACAAGTTGTGCTTTCCAGACTTACTCTTTAGCAGGGAAAATGCATTTCCGGGCTTGACTTGAGTATAATCAGGGGTCTGGCGGCCCGATACAGGGCTAGCTGGTCTACTTTCATATTCGGCCATGCCCTTCAACTTCTCCTGCACCTTTCTCCGTCTTTCCGCCAGTTCGTTCTCGAACTCTTCGCGTTCTCTTTGGGTGTCGGTGCTTGCTTGACGCCTGTGTCTTGCCACTAGCTCGCCTTGCCAGGAAGAGCCGTTGAGAAGTTCCGACGGGTCAACATTTCTTCGGGGTGTTTCATGCTCCTGTGAAGCAGAATCATCTGTGTCTGACTCCTTCATAGGAGTTTCTTTGTGCTTCTCGTCATCTATCAGCTTTGGTGGAAGACCAGGTGAGGGCGGCGGGAAGATGGACGATTTGTCACTGTCGTGCCGCAAGTGGGTACGAACTAAGCCACTCAGGCCCAAGCCTGATGGTCCCAAGGTGGGAGAATCGGGCTTCTCAGGAACGGCATTCACGTCATTGGCGGTCTTTTCAGTAGTATCGTTTTCGGCTATGGGTTTCAAATCCCCCAAGTCCGAAAACCGCACTTCAGGCAAGGGGTTTTGTTCTGCTTGTGCTCCTTCACTTGTGGGTGTAAATGGTTTTTGTGGTATTTCGGACCGAAGAGCAGGATGCACAAAGTCGTCTGCTATTACTCCATTGGCCAACTCAAGCACAGCCTCGGCCTCTTCATCTTCAGAATCACTAGGGCTCATGTAGGCGAAGAAAGTACCGTTGATGTTTCGGCGAGGAGATTCATAGACACTTGGGGCAGCGGATCGACTACCTGGGCGTTGGGCTTCACTATAGTGTGAGGTCGCAGAACCAGCTCGTGGCCGGTAGCTTGTGTTCGAAAGACCTCTAGGACGTCCAGTACTTTCATGGGAAATAGCCCGTCCAGGAGGTGGAGGTCGCGACAATGGCGGCGTGCTCCGTCCCTCGTGCATCTGAAGCTGACGTTGACTAAACTGGCTCTCATCGTACGGGGTTCTAGGCTTGTTGAACAGTCCCAGGGCCGTAGCTTTGCCGTGGTCTTCCGGCTGTAAAGCAGCCATCAATGGGGCACCTTCCTCACGTTCGCTAGCTGGAGGGCTTAGTGGAGGGAGCCCACCCTGGGGAGCTTCTTGGGGCCTCTGTTGTTTGACATTGGTTTCGCCAAGTTGCTGCGTAGGCGATCTTGACGGCGGTGCCGGACTAGCAGGGCGGCGTGTGGCAAGTGCCGGCTCAGCTAGCGGAAGCCTTTGTATCCTATCGCGCAGGCTAGTGGCGCTTCTGGAGTAGCTCCGGTTGAGGCGAGGCATGTCCGGAGTCCCTGCTCGTTGACGGCTAAGGCTCTCCAATCGATGTAGTGTAGAATTTTGCTGATTCTGGACAGATTGTGCCAGACCCTGGCCGTATAGACGCCGTGATTTGACGGAGCCCCGCTCTGGAGCCATCGCAGGTACGGATGGTTTGGAGAATGAAGCTGGACTCTCCTGAGACGGCGAGCCTGCGAATGATTGCTCGTCGATGGAACTAGCTGCTGTTGACGTACGGCCATTGGCAGTTGGGCCTGAAGCTGTGGAGGAAAATGTGGTTCTCTTAGCGGAAATGCTAGACAGAGCGTCTTCTGACTCCGCGGCAGATGTATCTTGGTGGAATTCCTCGGCTGCAGCACGTTCTTCCTTCTCTTTCAGCCTCAGCCGTTGGAAAGCGGACAAGGACAAATCATGGTCATAGATCGCACGGCCTCCCATTTGTCCAGCATCCGTCGCGACGGATGCAGTTGACGATGCCTTGGCGGGAATCTTGTAGACTTTTTGGCGCCCGCCAAACAGATTGTTTCCTTCAGCTCGGCGAGCTCTACTCATAATGCTCTCTTTCTGTGAGCGGTCGTCGTCGGTACCATAACCATCACCCGCCGAAGCGAATGAGTCACGGCCAAGGTTAAAAGACGGCCGACTACCATCTGTTGATACCTCATCGATATCTGTGAGCAGGTTTGGGTTGTGGCCGAAGAGATTCAATCGGGAGGCGCGCTTAGGAAACAAGACACTATCGTCACATGCCTTGCCGATAAGTGAGGCCGGGTCGTCTTGTTCTCTCAACATGCTAAACCGCGCCGATAATTTTGGCATGAGTAGGCTTGTGCGGAAGTCATCGTTCGACGGCAAGGCATTCGATAGGTCGAGTTCGGGCTTTTCCTCGGGCTCATCCTTTTTGCTTCGTTTAGACAACTTAGAGGTGAGTAAGTTGTGGGTGTTTTCAATAGCTTCCGCATCCTCCTTCGTCTTCTCCTTCTTGGTCTTGCGGAATCGATTCATGGCGATGTTTGTTGAGGGGACAATGCGAAACTAAGGGTAATTCGAAGCTGATGGGATGGGCAGTTGCATAGACGGTCGACCAAATGTAGTATCGATGGTTCTTGGAGAACTGCCACGTAAAGGGGTTACAGATCAGATCGGCGCATGTATTCTGCTGCTACTCGGTGAATCTTACGAGTCAGAATCATATGTCACTAGC